ATAACATTGTTTGCTAACCTATTAGGGGCGTGGCCCAACGATATTAAATACCCTAGATACACAACGAGCGCTCAAAATGTGTCCCAACCAAGAAGTGCTTGAACTCCACTCAAGCACTTCTTGGTTCACAGTCACACGCGGACCGTTACAAAGTCAAGATGCCGCAGAGCTCCGCGAAAAAATGCGAAAATAATACTTAGAGCACGAAAAGTGTTGTTTTTTCGATAGGTATCTAGTCAATGTTTGTTAATTTAACGCATTTGAAGTAAATTTTGTTCCAATACTTACTATAAACTAATTTAATATAAAATATTTGTGATATTCAAATGCATGGTCGGTTATACGTCGCCATATAGCCGTCTCTTTTCCTCGCGGTCGATGCCTGCTATATTGCTAACAGCGCGTTCAGAATTGCGCGTAAGAGTCAAAGAACTAAGGTCTAAATTCTTCCGCATATAGCCATAAGTCGTAAAATTTTACGAGCTTGCATTTCGAACTGTCAGAAGTCCTTGATGCATGTGTTTTATTTAAGACCTTATACAGTATGAATTAAAGGTTACTATCAATATTTAATGCCTTAAATTGATTTTGACTACGCGATCATCTTACGGAGCTCCGTGGATCGTTCAATGTACCTTTTGGGCAGGTTTCGGGCACGAGTTTGTTCGTGTTGTTGTATCTAGGGTATTTAATATCGTTGGCGTGGCCTAACAGTTTTGCTAACGGCGATAGGATAAAACTTGCATAACAATGTTTTGTTAGAAAATTGGCGTAGGACACCCATCTTAAGATGTTATTAAAGGTACATCTCATGGTTGGGTCTCAGACCAAATAAAAAGTAAAGACGGAGTCTGCCGAACAAAAAAAGTGAAGCCGACAAAACTACGCCTCGCCGTGTACATACACAGATACACGCACACACATGCAACGAAACTACGCCTTGGCTTCCCAGTCGAGCTATCCCGGCGCGCGGAGTGTGACGTAATATTAAATAACAATATTTATTAGAGAAAATGCCGAATTGTGTAGTGAAAACGTGCAAAAACCAATCTTCCCAATAAAAAACAGGATGGAATCACATTTCATACGTAAGTAAAGTTATAAACTAATATTTCCAATTAATCAAAATCAAAGGACATTGGGCAAAAATGTATGGACGCTGCACCCACGTCCGCCACGGCTCAAACTACATTTGTTTGAAAGGTATTATAGTCATGATCATCTGTGCCAAAGCGCATCAAATTCTATCCCGGGAGTCTTAAGTTATTTTAAGTTAAATAGGTACAAGTACTATAACGAACGAACATTAATGAAACAAGGGAATTAATTTCGTTAGTTAATTCGACACTACATAGGGGGCTCAGATATTATGGGAGTACTTCACAAGGTTCAAGGGTGCCCCCTTATGTTATTCTGCAGCACTAGAGTAAAACCAAAAATCCCCGTATGGGTTGGGATTTTTTCAAATATTCTGTTTGCTATAGTAAATTGTCTTCTTTGTAAAACGGAGCGTCCACAAATCACCCAACCTTGTCCACGTTTCGGAGATAACATGATTCCAGTTCATCCATACTAATTGACAAAACCGATAACCGTGTTCTAATGTCCAAAGCGTGTTAGATAAAAACCAATAAAGTGACAGGGAGCGCACAATTACAACGAAGTAAGACGAGACGACTATTTGCAAATGAAAGTCCTTCAACCCCCGTAAACCATTTTGAGGTGGCTCAGTAAATGCAAGCGCGGGATGGTCCGCAGGCTTTGTCGTATATCTGGTTGTATAGTACGATATGGCATATTATTATGGTTACTAATAATATAAAAATATATATATATAAAATGAAGGTACTATAAATGAATTTATTTACCTATTTAAATATGCCCATGTGTCATATCTTTTGACTACCAGGATATTTTTTACGGTGTCATATCTTTTGACTCCCAGGATATTTTTTTTCGGTGTAATAATAAAAAAGGCTAGTTTTTCATAGATCTATTGATTCATACTAATTACATTGATGGCGGAGCTGGGTGCGTTTTGCCCATTGTCCTTTGAGGTTGTCGCTTTGTAAACAAAACCAGAACGAAATGCTGCCATGATTATACGTTACAGTTTTACCCTTTTGTTGGGTAACGTGAAATATAACGTAACGTTATTTTATTAAATACATTGTGTAGCATACTTTTATATTATTCGAATATTGTAATACATGGATAAACAATTTCACGAAACGTCTTTATTATCTTTTTTCTTCATGTATTCATATAAATTTTTTGGGATGTAATACACATTATTATACTTTTTTTTTACGATTTCCTAATCGAGATCAAAATAAAGAGAAGTGGATTGCAGTCATTCGTAAGAGTAGAAATGAACCATTGTGGCAACCTTCCCGCAGCGTGGTCAAAATGAGTCGAACACTCATTTTCAGAGCGACGATTTGTACTACACAATAAAAGGGTTCGTGTAAAACAAAATGCATATCCAAAGGTATTTTTTACTTAGGTTAATTTATATTTTAAAGATTCCAATAATTCTTCAGTCGTGCAGACAGTTGGAACACAAAATTACACCAATTTTATTTCACAATATTCACTATGAACGAATTAAAGAATAATTAAAATATGACGCTAACCGCACTCTATGAAATCCCGCCAAAACTCCAAAGGTTAAGCTTTGTTTTTATTATATATTTTTTAACTAAACATTTATTAGTGTAACAGTTATTAAACTTATAAATCACAGGAACCCCAGATCTCCAAGCGGTCATCCGCTTGGAGTGATCCTATAATGGCTTGCGGGTTAGCGCTAGATGCAACCTCTCGTGCGCCAAAGGATGCATCTAGCGCTAGTGTAAAACTGATCTGGACTAGTTTAGGGAATAAGCCTATTATATTTTTTTCTAATATTTTATAACGTTATTAATAACGTTTTAAAATAACGTTATTACATTTTTCTAATATTGGGGTATTATAAATGACTATGGTAACACTGGCTAATGCACTACATACATAAAAAACCGGCTTCACTTTTTTGTTCGACAGACTCCGTCTTTACTTTTTATTTGGTCTGAGGGTTGGGTATGGAGATCTGTAAAAAAAGCTCACTTATTTATACATTTATATTTTATTATAATTCCCAAGCATCAACTTACATTTTATACTAGACATAATAAACTATTTTCGCTTATTTAACTAATTTTCCATCAAATATTATATACCTATCACCTTAGATTAAAACAAAAAGGAAAAATACGGCATCCGCGGCTCAAAAGTGATCCGCTTAAATTGTGGTGCATGACCACAATTCACAATTAGACATTCAAACAAGCTACATGTGTACGCAATATAACAATGTTGCGTATATTCTGTGTTATAAAGATAAAACAATGCCTTTTTATAAATAACACAAATAGTTCAAGATCAAATAACAAATGTGTTGCCACGGCAACACTTTTTATTCGTAAAATTATAAAAACATTTTTTTCTCAAAAATCACGGTTTTCCATGAATTTTAGTTACTGATTCGCCATTTCCGGGTTACGGACCGTAAAAGGAAAAAACGGAACCCTTATAGGATCACTTTGTTGTCCATCCGTCCGTCCGTCAAGACCGTTTTTCTCAGGAATGCGCGGAGTTATCAAACTGAATATCTAATAAATACTCAAGTCTACTGTCCCTTGGAGCTGTGAAAAAAACAAAAAAAACGACAACAATACAGCTCAGCCTCGCTCAGTTTCACTCACGCTGCGCTGCGTTGAAGCGTCCAAGTTTGTCTCGCTCGCTTGATTGAATGTTTACAGAAGTGTGAGTGTGTGAGAGTTGCTTATGTAGTTGAGTCGGATCATATTTTATTTGATGGTAGTATGAGCGTACCGTATCTTCCCTTTTTGTTTTAATCTAAGCTCAGCTTACTGTATTCTTTTTTTCTTTCTGTTGCGTGGCGCTACAGCAACATCACTTTTTACCCTCGTGGTCTTGTGGATTTGAATTACCTACCTAGGTAGGTACTGAAATCTCAAAACAATAGTGCTCTTAGAGAGCGAAATGACCCTCAGAAAGGATTACGACATTTGAATAATGCTAGTAAACATATATTTTATAAAGAAAATTAATATCTACAATACCTATCTGTTAGATTTTTATACCTAAGTAAAATACATAACTAATTAATAAACTAAGTAGAATAAAATTTAATCTTAAACATGTTCTTCATTAACCTACTTGTATTTTTATATCTGCTAAATATCTATAGCCGTTACAAGTAAAGGTAGCAGAAATATGACTTATTTATACACACTATTATTTCCATTCAAGTCATGGCTTGAGCAAATAATAAAGGTAACCCACAGAAGAGAAAAAAAGAACTTTTTTTTTCAGTTCTATGAGGTAACCGCACGCCAAAGCAATGCCATGAGTATAGCGGTGGCCAACGATAAAATATAAAAAACATCAACTCAGTCTATTACAGAAATGGGTTAACTAACCCTTTACAAACTAAACATTAGTAAAAACTGGAACGACCAAAACAAACCAATGGCACTATAACAATAAATCTTAATTATTAAATTACAATAGTAGGTACCTACGTATAAAATTATATTTATGAAAATGCAAGACTGGAATGCCGATATCCCGTAAATAACACCTTTTCATAGAGATCAGTAAATGCGATAATTGAAACAACCATAAATACAATCATTATTAAATGAACGTATTACAATTTTAAGTATGTAGGTATTTAAAGTATGTACCAAAACGACAACATAGACGTAGTAATTTACCAATTTGTTTCCCGTACACATTTCAAATGTGAAACTAAACCTAATTTTACTAATAGTGAAATCATTTTAGTGTAGCATTTTGAGAAGTGCCATTTTACATCGAAAACGCGACGGCACAAAGCAACTTAGCAAAATATTACACGTAAACTTAGTATTTATTTTCTTTCAATAAAATTTCTAATGGTTCTTATCAACTTATGAAAATGTTAACTGCGTTTATTTGATGTAGCCGTGAATTTGGGAACAGTTCTTGTGTTCATACTGTTTCCCATTATTGAAATGTTCGAACTGTTGTAAGGCTTTGTAAAGGTTGGATCCTGGGCTCTGAGTGGCTCGTACATCCCGGGCGGCGATGATATGGTAGTCGGGAATCATGTGACCTTTTTTCACACCTTCTTCGAAAAGCATATGGGCGCTTCTAAGCTGTTCTGGCGTCACTTTCGTATGTACTGGCAATTCTTCGCGGTAGTCACCTGTTATTGATACCAAATTGATTGTACTTTGCATTAAAAACCGACATACCTACATGTTAAATTCGAAGTGATAAACTAAAATATTAACAATGAGCTTGATGGCCCAGATGGTTAGCGCGCTCGGTATGCGAACCTTATGCAACTTTCGCAATGGCCGGTCATTGGATGGGTGACCAAATACTTATTATCCCGAATTCTTATGTGCTTCGAAAGGCAAGTTAAGCTATTGGTCCCGGTTGCATATGCGTTGTCATTAGCTGCACTAGACCCACTTGATGGATCATAGCCCAAACTCCCTAACTCCATTCAAAGGGCATGCCTGTGCTCTCAGTAGCATAAACAGCGTGCGCTGCCTTAAGCGGACCTAGGTTAAGGTAACAAGGAGCGGAGTTATATGTCATTTCATAGAAACCAGCGTTGCGGGAGACTCGCCTCACGCAGCGCTGCACTATAGAATATTATGAAAAATAACATGAAACAAACACGCCGAGCGGTCGCCCGCTCCGTGCCCCGTTTAACGCAGCTCACGCTCTAATAGGCTGATGACGATGGGGTTCATGTTAGACAAGAGCAGAAGGAAGACATACCCATAAATCCAATTCCTACAGCGCACCTGTTGAAGCCGACGGTATGGGCTCCCTCTTTGTTCCAGCCTCGGCCTTCATATACGCGTCCATCGTTACCAATCACGAAATTATACCTGGAAATAAAGAATTTACATGTTAGCAGAGTGACTTCTTTTAATTAGAGCATTGGTATTAAGAGAGTTGCTACTTTCCAGAAGAGGCCACTTACTTATTGAATATTAAAATTACTATATGTATTTGAAAAAAGAACTTAGGTTACATAATAATTTGAGTATGTACGTGTATTTATGTGTAATTTGACGCCACAACTTAGTGTGACTCGCCTACAAACAGAAGCACCGCGAAGGTTGATTATTTATAACTGGTAACTGGTTTGTGGAATTCCTCGGTTTCCTATCTGTCAATCCCATTTACGAAATTCGTGATGGCCGTCCTTTGACCGTTGTGGACAGAGCGAAAACCGGCCATGATTTTCTGATCCTGACTGATGGTCATCCTTACTTAGGCACACGAAACAAATCCTTCAAAAATATTTGGGTTTGAAGAAACTGTTACCGATGGATCGATCTTAATTAAACCATGCCCTTAAGTTGAATATGATGACTGGACATAATGACATATGACAAACCAGGATCACCAGAAAAATTACGGATAATTTCACTGAGTCTTCGATTTTCATCACCACAACAGTATGGTGAAAGGAAAAAAACATGTTTCTGAGGTCATCATTAAATCGGATCGAGTCTAGGTCACAATAAATTTATCTTTGACCAGTCATTGGTGTCGATTCTGGTGTGATTCTCTAAACTTAAAACTAAATTTAACATCAATCTCTCCTTTTCATTCCCTTAGACAATAACAAGGATACGCTGTTGTCAAATTTAAGTTTAGGTTTAGAGAATCGTGTCAGAATTGACACCATTGTAACTTTATTCGTAGGTTCAGTATTTTTATTTGTAGATTTGGTGATTATAATAAATAAGAACTGTAAAAATAACAGGTCTAAAGTTAATGGCCATTCCTTTAATTTCTTTCGCTTTATTTAATTTTCATAAACTTCTAACTCCTTAACATAATGAAATTATCTAGTCAGTGTAATTTAGTTGATAGTGGGATGGGATTGCAAAATTTAATGCTTCAGACTTACTCAGCACTTTATGGCTCGAACAGATTTAAATAAATTTATTGTTTTTCTAATCAATAGTGAAATTATAAACAGACTAGTGGCTATATACACTTAGTGGCCCGCCCTCGCTATGTTTCGGTGTAGTTATTTTTTGTTCTCAAGCTTGAAAAATACATAATATTATATAGACCCACGGTGAAAAAATGTCTAGCTACCTGTTTGGCTAATAGTGAACATTTTGTATTAGGACCCGTACGACCCGTAGTACCTACCAATGATATTACTTAAACCACGGACTAAAACAATAGAGGCGTAGTAACCAATGCACCATTGCTTAGCTGTTGAAAATAGTTTGTACCCGAATCCGAATATAAACATTTCATCGGCGACTACGGACCATGTTTATACAATACAATACAAAACACTTTATTGAACACCACAGAAAACATTACAATAAATACAGAGCCATTTAAATTAAGTGTTACAATGGGCGGCCTTATCGCTAAAAGCGATCTCTTCCAGACAACCTTTGGATGGAGAGGATTAGAAGGAAGTGGTAGAGACGGCGGCGTAAATTTCAATGTAATTTATTAATATATACATATACATAAACGAACAAATACACATATATTTTATATTCATAAATACATATACATATATATAAATATATATATATATATATATATATATACACGGACCTAAAAAAAAGACGGACGTAACATCAAAGGCAAATCATTTGAAGCATGCAAGTTCAGACAAAATCGTTTGTTGTACACTACCTACACTCACACTAATGCGGACAAACCGCTGTAGGGATGTCGAAAGTTGAAAAAAATATCGATATATCGATACATCGATATTTAAAAAAATATCAATATCGGCTTCGATATATCGCGAAAAAGACATCGACATATCGATATGTTGGACCAATTTTCCCAAAAATATATTTAGATCAGCCTAGCACAGTAATAATAACAATACAAATTATAATTAAAGAAAGAATTATCAAAGTACCAAATTGCCGCTACACTTCATGATAGTACAGTATCTCACGAAAGATGACACGCGGAATAATAATGGAACGAAAATTATCTACCTAAAATAGACCCTATTTTCGAATGATGAAAATAATTGCAGGACCTCTCAGGTGCCATCTTTCGTAAACAAGACTAGACAGTCACACACTTCCACAGAATATAATGGAATTCAGCACCAATTCACCAGCGAAACATATTTACAAATCATAGACAGTACTAAATACAGCACAGATCATAGATATGTTGAATATCATTAATCTGAGATCCAGTTACGATTTTTCCAGATACGAATTTAATTGGATCGTGATATGCCGTTAATAATTAAAAAAATATCGTTTTTGATACGAATTTCGATATTGGTTATTTTGTATCGATATATCGAATCAAAATATATCGGTTAAAAATGTCGATATATCAATCAAAAAATATCGATACATCGATACATCAATATATTTTCAACAAGCCTAAACCGCTGCCATTAGTGCCATTTGACCCCGCGTGACAGCGGCAGTCACACATTCAATTGCTCTGATAAATATAATTAAAAATGCCGTCTTGTGTGGTGAAATCCTGTATAAACTACACGAATAAATTTAAAAAATCACAAGGAATCACCTCCCATGCGTAAGTATTGACAATTCTTGATATTTCTTCCATATTATATTTTATTTACTGGGATGAAAATTGTAAACATTTTATTTTTAATTTATTCATGACCATGGATACAAGCCCTTCAGTCGTATACATAGGTAATACAAAACAATGAAGATTATAAAGATAGAATTTAAAAATAACAATTATAAAAAAAAACAAACAAATTGAACAAAATTAAGAATCATTAATAAACAAAAGTATGACAAATTGTAAACAAAAATACAACTGTATGGCTACTTTATTTACGGGAAATTTTCCCTAAAAGTAGGGAATTTTGTATATGTATATTATGTAGCAAACTCTTTTGTGTTTAGCAACTGATTATAACTAATTATTTTTTTGTGTTTTCTTATTGTTTGGTTTTAGTTTAGGTTTTTGTAAGTTCTAATTTGTTATAGATTAATCTTACTTCATTTTTATTTTATTTTTTAATAAATTCATTTCTCTTGTTTTAAGGTTTAAGATACTAAAAGCACTCAGTCTATGTTGTTATTTTTTTTGTCTTGTTGATTGGTATGGTTCTAATCTCGTTTTATTATTAAATTAAAAATGTCTCGTCAAACCTGCCAGAATTATCAGCGCTGCAGCAGCCCTGGTGTTGCTGAAGTATTAAGCTGAGGCAGGGACCTAGTTGACCTGTCTTTCTGTGTTCTGTTTTTGTATATGTGTTTCAAGGTCAATAAAATTTCTTTCTTTCTTCTTTCTATATTATAAATTATTGTATTACCTCCTTTCTAATAGGTTTCCTAGAAATAGAAAACGTAGAAATGACTGGGTTTTAATTATTCGATACTGCAGTTGGGCTAACAATTGGAACCCATCACCTGCCAGTACTGTGTGCAGTGCACATTTTGATGATTTAGATTTTAAAATTACAGCTAAGGGGCTACGTTGTTTGGTTCCGTGTAACAAACGATAAATGTCGCAAATGTTACATTCAACCAGAAACAATTCAACACATAACAGGAGCGTGCACAACTCTCACGCAGACAGACTACACGCATAGACACAATCAGGTAGCAAATGTAATTCATCAAAAATTAGCACTCAAATACACACTCATACAAGACCCAAACACTCCTTACTACAATTACACACCACAAACTATCTTAGAAAATGACACACATAAACTTTACTACGACCACGCCATTCTCACCGACAGGACAATTCACTACAATAGACCGGATATAACCTTACAGGACAAAATAAATAAAGTTACTTTCCTAATAGATATAGCTGTTCCCAACACACATAACATTCAGAAGACAATATCTGAAAAAAATAGTAAATACTCAGAGCTCAAAGATGAAGTAACTAGAATATGGCGTCAACAAAAAGTTTACGTGGTTCCTATAGTCCTCTCCACAACAGGCGTCATTCCAAATCACCTTCTCCACAGCCTTAAATTAATAAATCTAAAAGAAACCCTCTTTATCACCCTCCAAAAAGCTGCAATTTTAAATACATGTTGCATTGTTAGAAAGTTCTTGCAAATAGATGAAAACGAAATAGGTTCTCATCACAATAACCTAACACAACACATGCTGCACTTACTTGGTTTCGGCCCGTAATTGTAGTAAAAACCAGCCAAAGAGCTGAGAAGAAAAACACTCAACAAATAATAATAAACTTTTTTTGTAATTATTTTTATTGGAACGAAGTTCCTTACGGCAGGCTTGGAGGGTATAGGGATTTTGCTGCGCGCCCGAACTGAAAAAAATGTGATAGTAAAACCGTAAGAAAAAATCCGTGGAAAAAAGTGCGTGGAATAAAACCGTTAAATGAGACGTGCGCAGGCGCGACAGTCTCAATAGTTTCAGCAATAGAATTTGATGACGAGACTGATTAATAAGAATTACTTATAATAATAATAATAATAAACTTTTTTTGTAATTATTTTTATTTCTATTTCTATGTAATTTTATGTTGTCAAACAAAAATAAAGAGACATATTTTGTTATTTTAGTTGATAATTTGAATTACGATGTTTTTTTATTTTAAGTAATTTATTATTTCCTAAATACTTTCTTGTACTTAAATAAAAACTAATCAGCAAAATTTAAGAGAAAAATCAAGAAAACCTACATAAAATTGAGCACGATTTTTTTTGCAATTTGTGTCGATTCTACATTAGCCGAAGGAGCTTCGTTCCTACCTGGTGTCCCACGACACCACATGATTTTTTTGGTATCTTTTTCACATATTGGGTTACACAATCGAAGTTTTCATACGGATCCCCATTTTTTTCAAAAAATTCTTTGTCCTATGTTCATCAGGGATAATGTGAGATTCTAAATGTAAAGAAATGGGTCCAGTAGTTACGGAGCCTATTCAATACAAACAAAAAATTTCAAACAAATCATTCCTCTTTATAATATTAGTATAAATAAATCGGTAAAGAATTTGGGTAATTCATCAATGAGTTTCAATTAAATCAAGAGGTGTGTGACAAAGACATAAAATAATATTTAAAAAGGCAAATAGAATATATTTGAAAACCTTACAGCCTAGCTTGTTCTAGAGATTATATTCTTTACAAAAAATCTCCAAAAAAGATCTCTGTATATTATTTGTTATGATATTTATATCTAAAAACCTTATCATAACTAAAATACATTATTAAAAGGAGTCCCTTATGGCAAGGTTCCGAAGATACTGGCAGCGTTCGCCCTTTGAATAGCTAGACTAATTCTTTGTCCGAGGTAGCTGCCAGCTCTTCGGCTCCTGTGATGATGACTAACCTTTTTAAAAGGCAAATTACGTAAATGTTGTGGAACACTAAGTTGGACCGAAGTTAAAAATAAGTATAAATACCTACCAACTACACACAATACGCTACGAAACACCTGACGGTTGTGATGGAAAAATCTTTACACTTTTTTTATCTAGCCCCCTATCCGCAAAGTCTGTACTGTCCGAAAAGAAACTTTGAAAATATCCCATACAAATCTCAAATAAGTACAGATTACCTCGTTAATATGGATAAAAATATACCACAAACAGCATTAAGGGCTCATAAGAGGGTGCTGGCAACGACATAAATAAGAAAATAAAACGAAAAACTCACAAAATATCGTATTTGAAATGCGTCACAAAATAATTCTGCAGGTTGCGAACTTTCACGTCGCATTTCTCGAAAGTGTCGCACTCGCTGCCGCACACTGGTCCGGATCTCGAAAAAAGTGGACATTGGATTTTAAAAATACTGTTAGATAGTACTAATGAAAAAGAACAATAAATGTTATATTCAACTTTTCATAAAAATGCGTCACTCATATATAAAAAAAATATTAAAAAAAAAATGTATATGAGATAAACCTTTTTATTTTTTTTCTCGAGACTGTCATGAGCTGGCAAAGTTTAACCAATACAGTGATTAAGAAGTACATTTTCTTATCACATATCAATTAAAACATTTTGCGATCACGCACGGCTTTGCCTTTGAGGGGATCTCAAAATAATTTTTTTTTCCTCGTGTTTTCGGTTGATCAAAGTAGATGATTGATGTAGAATTCATAAAGTAGATGATATTAATGCATTTTTTTTAATCTTCGACAGAAGCACACTTCATATTAAATTCATACAATGAGTTTACAGATATGGAATTTATCATGGACAATGCTACTATTTCAACGTTTGCGTCAAAATATTAAAATATCCATAGAAATTAATGATAAAAATGAAAAAAAAACACGCGAAAAAAAAAAAATATATTTTTATTTTGAAACCCCCTCAAAGGCAAAGCCGCGCGTGACCGCAAAATATTTTAATTGATATGTGTTAAGAAAATGTTGTTCTAAATCACCACTGTATTGGTTATACTTTGACAGCCCATGACAGTCTCGAGAAAAAAAAAAGGTTTTTCTCCCATAATTTTTTATTTCAATTTTTTTTTTCATAATAATATATGAATGGCGCATTTATATGAAAAGTTGCATATAACATTTATTGTTTTGTTTCATTAGTACTATCTAATAGTATTTTTTAAATCCGTATATTTCCAATGCCCACTTTTTTCAAAAGCCGGACCGGTCCATCGCGGTCGTGTGCTGCACTAACACCAGTTTCGCAGGGCTGAACTCCTCGGGCAGATAACTCGATAGCAATTCTTGAGCCACTCATGGTACGTCACAGTGACATAAATAAGAAAAAAAAAAACAAAAAGGAAACTCACGGTATGTCGTATTTGTAATGTGTCAGGAAATAATTCTGCAGGTTGCGAACTTCCGCGGCGCACCTGTCGAAAGTGTCGCACTCGGCGCCGGCCGTGTGCTGCACCAACACAAGTTTCACAGGACTGAACTCCTCGGGAAGATAGCTGGATAGGTATTCTTGAGCCAGCCATTGGTCTCTGCTTATTAGCCATTCGCGTGGACCTGGGTTGATACAGGTAAGAAGTTTTATCAAAAAATGTCCATAAAGAAGTTTTTTTTACTTTAATTTATCTGTGTCAACATAACACAAGCCTTACAGTGCTTACTATGGGGCTTATTGGAGTGTTTGTTTGAAATATTATTTTTAAATCCAAAGAAAAGTTTACTAGAAAAAAATCCACGCGGACCAGGCAGCGGACGGGACTCGAACCCGCATCCTTCGCTATCCGGGCGAATGCACTGACCATTATGCTACCACGGCCCTATTAGCCGCGTCGAAATTTTCCTAGCTTTAAGCTGCAAGGCAGCGCCATCTCTTCGCATTGTAGGTAACCCACAATGTCAAATGAATACTTTTTCAAGTATTAAACATTTGAAAGAAGAAATAGCAATTGTAGTTATGATTTTATTTATTTTTTAAGCATTTAACTGCTAGATGTTTAAATCCAAAGAAAAGTTTACTAGAAAAAAATACTTTTTTTAAAAAATACTTTTTTTTCTAGTAAACTTTTCTTTGGATTTAAACATCTAGCAGTTAAATGCTTAAAAAATAAATAAAATCATAATATTATTTTTATGTATTTTAGTTATACTCTATACGCACCTCGATTTTCAGCTTTCATATCATTGGAGTTCTGGCCATGGACTGTATAGTAGACTATTAAAGATATGCATACAAAAAGTGCACATATAGCGGCCAAGCAGGAAAGGCGTTCGGTTTTGTTTGTGTTTTTTATTACGGTCCAGATGTACTTCGGCAAAGGCAAATCTGAAAATCCACACTATAATATCATAAAGTGATTTTATGTTAGTTCCCTTTTAGCTTTAAAAATACTTATATTGTTCCTGATGAATAAAATAAGTAAGTAATAATATTTTTTTTGACTTTTGGATATTCCTTTATTGCTTGAGATAATTAATCTCTTATCTTACCAATGTAAAAATAATAGGTAGATATATTCATGCACCTCATAAAAAATCGCAATATTTTCTGTATAATGTAAATATCGTTTTGATCATTTTCTAATAAATCATATTACTAGTGGTCGCTGCACGCATATACATTTCTCTGTATTTACATTTTGCATTGGGTACCAACTATTCAGCTATTAGATCTTACCTTTATATTTTTATTGACTTAAAATTAGGAAGTTGTACTATTTGTATTTTTTCTAATGTTTGTTTTGTTAACTTATAAATCCGAGATTTTTCACCTACTTATATGTTGCTTCTTTTTTTGTTTAAATCAGCTTTCTTTTCAAATGAGCCTATGAAAATTTGGTGAAGATCTACAAGGAGGTACTTTCGTAGATAAAAAATGGATCTCCTCCTAATGACGAACACAAATATGCTATATTATTATTGGATATTTTTTGAAATTAATAAAGCGGCCAAGTGCGTGTCGTGCTACGCGTAGTGTAGAGTTTCGTAGTTGGCTGTCGTTATCGCAATATATTTGAGTATCAGAAATTAATAAAAAAAAAAACAATTTTTAAATAGTTTTTTTTTTATTTTGTTTTTCAATGCAAGGTTTTACTTACGCTACAATAACTTCATCTATGCCACTATTAATATATTCTTCTAAGGAATTTTCAATAGGCAAGAAATTATCTTTAACCAAAGTTGAACGACCATTATAACTCTGAAACTAACAAATCTGTCCTAACCGTTATAATTTTCCGTAAAAGTTCGCTATACCATATTACCATGAATTTTCCCAGGTTTTTCAAGGCAATAGTTTAGCTTTTAGAAGGGGGGGGGGGGGGGGGGGTGACTCAAAAATTCTCAAAGCAAAACCGGGGACGGACAGACAGACGGACATGACGAAACTATAAGGGTTCCTTGTCAGGACTACGGAGCCCTAAAAAGGAAGAACGCCAGAGGCGTTCATGAGACGGTAGATTTTCCAGTAAATTTTTGCTGGCAGTCAAGTTTATGAATGGTTGGATAAATCTCTCGTCTAGTGGGGCGACTTTAAGTGGCGACTAAAAGTCGCCCCACTAGACATTTTTGAATTCCATAAGTCATGAATGATAGAAAACGGATGGCGATATATTTTCTATCATTCATGACTGATTGAATTGATTGACGGAGCATTGAGCGGAGCGGTTGCATATACCAAGGGTGATAGTTTTTTAAGTAAGTAATTTGTTTTATATTACAAATGGAATAGTTTTAAATGATAAATTTTGAAGCTATCTTGCAGAAAATATCAGACTGATCGAGAATCAATTTGGATAGGGTAGGCAGGGGGAACGGCGTTAACTTAAGGAAAATGTGATGTATTTTTTTAATTATTTAAATCATAAATAACAAAATATATAAAGTCTTCAATTATCGAGTAATCTACTACCTGTAATCTACTAAATGTTAGAGGCCCTCCCTAACCTATTTACTTAACTAATCTCTCAAAAAGTAGAATGTTACGAATGAATCTGACTAATATTGTACCTTCAAATTACGTGCTTATATTTGAGCTTTCGTTAGCTAAACTGAGTAGGTAGGTAATTTAGAAAAAGAAAACTTTTATTGGGGCGAATCTACAGTCATCAGAAAGTCAAAAGCCTTTTATTATTAATAATACGAGTTTTATTCCTATTATTATTTTGGAAATTAAAATTCTCATTTTTGTTTTTAATAATATATTTTATATATTGGTATACACATACAGGAAAAATAATTTATTAATTACTAATTCATATTAAAGTACGTTTTGTTATATTTTAAAACCTCCTACTTCCTGCTTTCGATTAATTACTTATTTCCGTAAGTGATAACATTAAATTAGGTTTTGTTTTGAACATAATACAATAATTGCGAAAAAAATATTCTTACTTTTAAGTAAGAAATCATAATTAAAATAAAATATAGACACATAAATTTAAGATAAACTAAGAACGTTGTTAGCAGTTATGAAAAAAGAAATAATCGGTTAAAGGTAAGTCAAAAGGGTAAGGCACTTGAAAATAATATATATACATATATTTATGTGTATTTAAATGTATCTGAAGAGAGAATTTAATATTCTAATTAAATCAAGACAACCTGATTTATTAAAGTTACTCTCTTATTAAAGTTAAGAAATACACTCAGTCGCAAAGAAAACGGGTCACCCGCTAGTAACTTGGAACTCTAATTCGATTTGCTCAATAATTATAAAACTTACAACTAGCAAAATTATACCTACAGAAAGTGCATAGCACATAAGTACAGTGTGTCCTTAGCTTAACGACTTTTTATACCAAGGGTGATAGTTTTATTAGTCCTTTGACCAATTCGGTAGAACACTATTGAAAACGAAACGTTTGGTAACTTAATATGTGGATAATTAAAAAAAATTACATTAGTCATTTAACATATAAAAAGATCCATCAATGTCTCTACAAGTGAGTAAATTTTTCTGAAACAAATATATTTAAGACGTTTTTAAGCTTGATTTAAGCCGACTCGAATAAAAGAAGTACAAAATATTAACCTCCTAACCTTATAAAAGTAGTCGGTGTGAAGCTCTAGACAACGAATAACAATACAAACATAATTAAAAATAAGTAAATACAATTAAAAGCTATGACTAGATAATTTGGTTTTTCTATCTAAGCCTATTAAATATACCTATAGAGTGCAGAGAGACATTTATTTCTATCTGAAAAGCGTAGATGGTATATAAACATTAACATGAAAAATATTTGTATGCCATTATTGATTCTCACAACTTTTATTTTTACATATGTACTTAAATTAAATTTAGACATACATTCCGGCTTCCAAGCGAGCAAAGCGAGCTGAAATTCTGCATTGTTCTGTAGGTAAATATCACACATCAATCCGCACCGGAATGGCCCAATCTCCCTATCCCGTACATAGGGAAGGCTTGTGTCACTTGTGGCGTATAACACATATTATCTCCCGCCTGACAGTAAGCACACAAAATAATGTAGAAGCTGCCACCATAGCCTTACGCTACCAGAGTACCCTATCACTCGAGCGTTGCCAAACTATTTCCTACACCATCGAGCGACATCACGACAGTACTAAAATAGTGTGATTTATGAGGTCTTCGTAAAGTGCATATTTTCTCAAATTTTGCATTTTGGGACTACGATTTTCATTCTTTGAGCTAGTAATAAAATTAAGAGAGTCGTCCCGCAATTAAGACGTTTATGAAATTATCACTACGAATATGTTTCATGTTATTATTACGTTAGTAAGGACTATTTTCGATCAAATTCTTGATATTGACCAAATTGTTACCAATTAAAGCACTATACAATACAAACACATACTATACAAACACATATATAGATGCTGCTAAACATCTTTGGACAATGGGCAAAAATGTATGGACGCTGCACCCACGTCCGCCACGGCTTAAACTACATTTGTTTGATAGAAATTATAGTCATGATCATCTGTGCCAAAGTGCATCAAATTCCATCCCGGGGGTCTTTTTCATTCATCATTTTAAGTTAAATAGGTACAAAGTACTATAACGAACGAACATTAATGAAACAAGGGAATTAATTTAGTTAATTAGTTCGACCCTACATAGAGGGCTTAGGTATTATGGGAGTACTTCACAAGGTGCAAGGGTACCCCCTTATGTTATTCTGCCGCGCTAGAGTAAATTCAAAAATCCCCGCATGGGTTGGGGTTTTTTCAAACATTCTGTTGGTTATAGTAAATTGTCTTATATGTAAAACGAAGCGACCACAAATCACACAAACTTGTCCACACTACGGAGCAAAAATGATTCCAGTTCATCCATACTAACTGACTAAACCGATAATCGCTTTCCAATGTCCAAAGCGTGTTAGATAAAAATCAATCAAGTGACAGACAATCACAACGAAGTAAGAGGAGACGACTATTTGCAACTGCAAGTCCTTCAACTCTGTAAACCATTTTGAGGTAAACCAAGCGTAAACTAAGCGCAGTATGGTCGGCAGGCTTTGTCGTATATCTGGTTGTATAGTACGATATGGCATATATTATGGTTCCTACTAATATAAAATGAAGGTACTATAGAATAAATTTATTCAGCTACTTCATTTCCATGTGTCATATCTTTTGACTACCAGGATATTTTTTTACGGTGTCATAATAAAAAAGTCTAGTTTTTCATAGATGTATCGATTCATACTAATTACATTGTTGGCGGAGCTGGGTGTGTTTTGCCCATTGTCCTTTAAGAAATCTTTAAGTATGATAATAAATAAGTATGTATAGGTACTTATGATGCTTACATGCAATACATATCAAACTTGTTCTGAGATACCACACGAGTCACGACTCACGGCCGTCGAATATGAACATTGTGTGTGTTTTTTAATAACTTTGCCTGGCGTTACGAAGCTTGTTACAGACAGGTTCTTTTGAGTTCAATCGTTTTTTTTATGCAGACAGACTTCATAAGTGGGTTTTAACTTTTTACTGAATTATTTTAGTTGCTTTAAGCTTAGATATATTACATCAATGTTAAGGTCCATTTGATTTGATTTTAGCAATACGTGATCATAAGTACCTTTATATACATTTTAAGCAAGGCCGGATTTAAGATGTGGCCAGGGGGGCAGATTTTTAAAAATAGGGGCCCCCATCACTTTCGTTGCCACGAGGCCTCCACACTTCTAAATCCGGCCCAGGTTATAAATAACATTATCACTTTTTGTGGCTAGATAAGCTCTGCTGGCAGTCACCGTAAGTTGCAACGAGTTAATTTTGGACTGTTTCTCGGAAATACTGCTGACCGATAATATCGCCACGAGTTAA